CTCTTTCAAAAGTTTCTACATGTCTCTCTTCCATGCATCTCCTTCCAAGCCCTGGGCACAGGTTAAAACCAGAGAAGCAAGAGCCCTTTTGGACCCAACCTGCTTTCTGGGTTATATAGCATCACCAGACCGCTCAGCTCTGCCCCTAGTTCCCAGTAGCCAGTCCAAGGTGGTACATGTTAGTGGGGGAGGGGAACATGGTACCTCCCCCTGCTACTCCTCTTCTATTATGTGATCCACAATAAACAGTCTTCTCTTGAAACCAATTGGCTCAAAATTTGTGGGGCATAAAATGGTGAAAGCCAAAGAACCCTGGGAATCTATAACAGAATCTGCAGGGAATGACCTAGGAGGAGTCTTTCAGGCATTTTAGAGCAAGTTGTTGAAGTGGTGAAGGAGACAGGTGGTTACCAACAGTCTGGGCAATGAAAATAGTCTTAGGTTGGGGTTGGAAGTGTGAAGTGAATGTGTGGGAGTGAGACAGCAGGAGAGATTCAAGGTTGAGCTTGTGCATGGAATGTTCTGGGTGAGACAAAGTTTAAGGTGGGAACTTTTAAGGACTTTCTGAAGGGGCATATTTTGAGGAAAAGATACTTTCTTCTATGTAAATGTCACCACTCCTCACCCAGTCACCCAAACCTGAAAAGTGGAGTCACCCTAGGAATTTAGTCTATTTTTTCCCTCCCTCACATTCAGTTGGCCATAAGCTTCCCTTCTCTTAATTTTATGAGCTAAACATCTCTGGGTTGCAATTGACTTGATTGAAAACCTCAAAATTGCTTAAATTTATTCTAAATGTTAAACACACCAATCCCTCACCTAGCTCTCCTTTCAAATTCAAAATGATCAGAGCAATCCCATGTGTAAATTCCAGTGGCTTTCCATTGCCTTGCAAATTCTTCAGCACCAGACAATGTTCTTTATCTGGTCACTGTTTACATCTGTGCTTTAGTCACAAAGTTCTCCCCTGGAAAGACCTTCCTTGGATCTTTTCCCAAGATTACTCAATCCTGCAGAGATTTGAGAATCCTTATTTCCTTCCCCAGGAGAAATGACTGTCAAAGTATGGGTAGCCCCTTATGCATGCTCCTGGCTCAGAAGGTGTCACGTGTTGCCCTTTTAGGTTTGAGATCTCTACAGGGGAAGCACTGTTTATTTTGCCTGTAAATGTCACAACCTACCATAGGGTCTGGTCAGAGTACATGCTCTGTGGATATTCCTGGGTGAAAGAGAGAATGAGTGGACATTGAAATCACCTTAGCTGAAGGCAGGAGTTGGGATGGAGGACTGTGAATCAGAGGCCAAAGTCCCAGATGAACGTGAGAGTTTACTAGCGTATTTCATGCGGTCTGGACAGTGATACCTCCTTTTAGGGAAATTATCTACCAGTGAGTTGTCCTGTAACCCCCATCTTCACCCCCATTCCCTGTACAAATAATTAGGTCAAGGGACACCACCCAATCGGCTTGCCAGAGACCTGTGTGACCTGTCATGGAATGACGAGCTGGGTTAATCTGATTTTCTTCTGGGATCTGGGAATTGAGAAACAGATCAAAGTGATAAGCTCCAGAAGTTCTGGTTGAAAGGATACATCAAGAATTATTAAAAAATATATAGCAGAAGTGGCAGAAACTTAATTTTATGACCTGTGGAGTATCTTCTAATATTTTGAAAGAGTTAATACTTGGATAATGGGAGATTTTTACATTAGAATTCGGCTATTTGGCTTCTCTTGTAAAATCTGATCTAGCAAAAATGAAACAGATATGAGTAAGTGCCCAGGGCACATGTTTGCCTTCCCCACCCTCCCCATTCCATACTGCTTCCACCTGCCTAGCTTTTTTCATTTACTTTACCTACTTGGCTCTGTAGTCATCTGACAACCAACTTGTTGAAGGAACCAGTAGCAATGAGCAATTATATGCAAACCAGGTTCATAGTGGCACAGACCCACAAGAGGGCAGGGAGGAAATCCGGCAGGAGTTGGGGAGCAGGAGAGAAAGAGAAAGGATACAGACACCAAGAGAGGAAAACCAGTGGTCAGATACGTGGGTTGCGGGGCTCCAGTTTCAGTACCTGTCTACAGCTCCCTCATCCTAATGCCCCTTTCTTGAGCTAATTTGTAATGCAATTAGCTGGGCCAAAACAGGAAGTTATTAGGAAAGTGGTAGGTAGCAGCAATGAGAAAGGTAAGACAGTGGTATAACTAGATGACATTAAGTTCAAAAAATAAAGGTGGAATGTAAAATATAAATTGCTGTCCAGAGTCTGGCTTTTGGTCATTATGCATCCTGGCCCAGGATGCACAGAGAGTGAGCAGTGAACAACCTCTGTTCAAAAGGATAAATAGTCAAAAAAAGTATCCTCAGGAGGAAGTAAGCAGCATTGTGGGAAGGGCTACTACAGATATGCAGAATTCCAAAGAGTTTGGAAGAGGGGCTGGGAAGACTGGGAAGAAGACATTTGGAAGCAATTTAAGGTTTGATCTATTGTATACTTCAACAGTGTAGATTGGCCTGGTAACTAGCTTTCAGGGTGCGTTGCGAGCAGAACTCTGTATTTCAGCAAACAGAGAAGGCTTCCTGAAAGAGTAGCATTTGAGTTGCATTTTAAGGAGGAGATGTAAGGGAAATATTTCACAGAGCCACAACTGCAAAGGCAGAATTCTAAAGGAGAGAGTAGGCAGTATGCAGTTAAAAACCTGGTGTCATGGGGCCTATAATAATAATATTGTATTTCTTGTATTTTAAGATTCACTATTCCCACCCTATCCCACCTTTAATATCTTAGTTTAGGATTTATCATACACTGACATTCTCAAATGCATACATTACCAGAGAACAGAGTAGAAAAATTGTGACAGTTATCACTAACTGGGTATATTTAAATTTAACCAGCCACAGAAAGATGTTCATTTGATAATTGCTTAGTTGCATTATTTACATTGATGGTGTCATGCAGCTGAATTTTAATTTAAATCCTGAAGTGTCACCTTAGGTCTAATCTTTCAAAACTCTACACTGTGATGAAGCACTGGAACAATAAGTTATTGTATGTATAAATTAGTGTCATGCATCAGGAAACACAAATATAGCAGCCATGACCAACTCTCTAAATTTGACACAGAAGTTACAAATTTAGAAGTGCTTGACTTGACCAACCTAAGTGTCTGACATCCAGGACACTGAACATTTAACTGTCAATAGCTTCTAGTTATCAAGAGAAGCTGTGCAGATTCAGGGATATATAACTCAATTAAAAAAAAAAAAATCGGGCCTCCCTGGTGGCGCAGCGGTTGAGCGCTGGGTTGCGAAACTGCCCGCAGCCTCTGCAGCGCCGGTTCGATCCCCGGCCACCGATCCCCGGCCACCGATCCCGGCCACCGATCCCGGCCACCTGCGAGGGTCCCACATGGCTCACAGACCTCTCCTGCCGCCCACAGCTCCCCTCAGCAGTGTACTTCGGTCCTTCTGCCTGTTCTGCTCCCCGCTCTGGCTCTGGTGAATTCTCTCACCCACCCGCGCTTTTGACTGTACCCAGTGCTTGTATAAATTAAAAAAAAGAAAATAAACCAAGCTTATTAGTGAAAGAAGAGACATATATAACATAACTTTTTGAAATGTGTAAAAATTACAGTAACTTTCTAAAGGTGCTAAAGAGATCAGGATATAACTACAGGTTATTAAAAAAAACATGGAATCATGCTATACTTAGCCCATGGTCAAAGGGTTATATAAGACTGGTACTGAGTAAGAAAGTGGTACAGTTATGATAATAGCCAACATTTACTTAGTGATTACTATATGGATGGCACTGTGCCAAGTGCTTTTAGAAGTCTTATCATTTTCAGATTCAGCAGTTCTATCAGATCAGTGGTGTCTTCATTTTACAGTGAGAAGTTTGCTTTCAGACTCTGAGAGTCACTATGAGGTCCGAACATCTTACTGGTACATTTCTATGGACATGCCTATGCTTTTTTGGTTGGGTTTAAAAGTATACATTTAAATATATTGTACCCATTGTACTTACAAATAGCACTTAGAATCAGAAACATGGTAAGTATCTGCCTTGTAGGATTATTGTGAGGCTCAGATGTTGAGCATGTAGTGCTCCTAGAAAAACTGCGGATTAGAGGCCAGGTATTATAAATTGGAGTAAGTGAGCCAACTGTTCAGAAGCCTATCATTTTAGAACTGGCAAAAGCTACTGAGAGAAAGGTGTCAGTAGAGAGGAATGTCTTCTGTGGTTTTGAGAGCACTTCCTCCCCAGAAAAGCCCTACCTCTCATACCTGTCTAAATCCTTCTGATTTTTTGACATCCACTCCCAATGCCAGCTCCTCAGAAGTCTCTGGTAATATGAACAGCTCTCACGGGAGATATTTCCAAATTATTAAGTGAGGAAGCCAGAAACTCAAAGACGGATTTTATCATTAAAGTTACCCTTGCTCCCCTACTGGCCTCAGTTTCTCTGACCTAAAAGGAAGTGGTTGCTTGGTTAGCCAAGCCATCTCTTCCTTTTATAATTTCTACCGTAGCCTCTTCACATTTCTGCCAAAACTGCTTTAAAAGGCAACTTTCCTTCCCCAGACCTGCAGGCGGCGGCTCCATCGCGTCGGCTGCCCGGCCGGGCGGGGCTGGGGAAGCAAAAGAGGCGGGGGCTCGGAGGGAAGCGCGGCGCGCGACCACGTGACTTCCTTCTCAAGCAGCCTCAGCTGCCAGCCTCCCAGCAACCGGAGCTCCCGCCTAACGACGGCCGCGCGTCCCGGTTGGCCCGCGGTACGTCCGTGGCGAGGAGGAGCCCACGGTCGCACTGCTCATTGGTTCGAGCTCCCGTCGCTCAGGCGCGTTGCCGGAGCGCCCGCAGGCGGCGCTGCCGGAAGCCCCTCCCATTGGCCGCTGGGTTCGTGGCTGGCTGGCCGATGCTGTCACTCCGGGGCCGTTTTCCTGAGGCCGGCGCGCTGCTGGGGGCGGGAGGAAGAGGGGCCAGGCTGGGGCCTGACGAGCCGACGCTGCCGCCGCAGTCCTCGCGGCTGCTATGACCAGCGGGCGAGGCGCCCTCCGCAGCTCCGCGCAGCGCTAGTGGCGGCCGTGCGCCCGCCGTCGCCGTCCGGGCCCGCCGCGCAGCCGCGCCCGCGGCTCCCCCGGCTCCCCCCGCGCCGCCCGCGAGCGAGGCGGAGGTAGCATGAAGATGACGGTGGATTTCGAGGAGTGTCTGAGGGACTCGCCCCGCTTCAGGTAACTGCGGCGGCCCCCGGCCCCGGGCCGGCGGCACCCGGGCTGCCTCCCCCGGCAGCGGCGGCGCGAACGCCGGCCCCGCATCGGCGGCGGGCCCCGAGCTTCGCGCCTTCCGACGGGGCGAGCGGCCGTTGCCGCTGCTTCGGGCCGCGTCCCGGGCACTGCGGCCGCGGCCGCCCGTCCTGAGGGGCGAGGGTGAGCGGGCAGGGGCTGTCGCCTGCTTGTCTCCCCTCCTCGCCCGCTGGCCGGGGCGGCGCGCCCCCGAGGCCGGGCGCACCCTCTCCGCTTGCAGGAACTGGGGTGCAGCCGCGTCCCCGAAGACAGTGTCCTCTGCGGGAGCGCGCGCTCGTCCCCTTCCTCTCGCTGCTCATCCTTTCCCCTTCCTTCCGCTCCTTCTGTGTTTCCACCCCCCGCTCCACCTCCTCCGTGCGGCCGAGGGAGCTTGCGAGGCGGCCGCTTGCAGTTCACTTAGTTCCTCTTTGCGCTTTTCCGCTCCTCTAACCCGGGCGGGGGCCGCGGGGGGCGCGCCGGGACGTCCACTCCTGCGGCCTGCGTGGCCCCTGCCCGAGGGGCGCTCGGCGAGGCCCTGGCGGCCGGTGTGTGCTGCAGGCGGGGGCTTGACCGAGCGCACTCTGCCCACCCTGGGGCTTAGGGCACATCTGCTTTCCTCTCTGTTTCAGCTCCTGGAAGGGGGTGCCGCTGTCGGGGGGTGCCCCTGTCGAGAGGTGCTGGGCTGGAGGGTGAGGACCAGGATAAACAGTGCATTTATGTTTTGGGAACGGAAGTAGGAGGGCCCTGAGGATTGCATTTCTGTTCCTCTTCCAGCAGCCTTGGGCTGGGAGGCCCCGGGTCCCAGTGGGATGCGCCCAGGGAGTGTCACACGGTGGCCTCTGATTCACGCGGGCCGGCCCCTCTCGCGGGTGAGAGGCGGCCGTCCCGAGGGTGTGCAGAGTACGTGCTCTTTCCATTTAGGGCAGCGTAGGGAACTCGACTTGTTTCGGAGAATGGAGGTTTGCCAGGTCGTATGGTACATTTGCAGGGCTGGTCTTCGAACTTCAAGAGGAAAATGAAAAGGCCTTCAAACTTCCGCTAGTGGCATTGCTTGAAAGCTTCCTCTGAGCTGGGGTGTGCGCGGTTTGTGCGCACCCGCAGACCTCTAGGTCCAGCCTGGCTTGTCAGTGCTTGCATCCTCCACCTGGGAACTACCTGTTCTCATCCTGTCACTGTAAGTTTGACTTCCCACTCTCTTTTGAGTGAAAAGCAGAGAAAAAAATTGAAGAACGAAGGAACTGCTACTGCTAAAAGAAAATTTAAGAACAGTTTTTTGGTTTTGACCTTTGATTAAGGAAATTGGTGTTACTTTTATTTGTCGCTTTGGGCTGTTGCTTGTGAAAGATGACGCCTGCTTTGACTGCTGTTGTTGGTGTTAGTTTTGGAAACTCTTATGTTCTTTGTAACTTGAAGAACCCAAAGGAGATGCAAAGGGTTTCTCTAGGACAGCTTTGGAGTTGTAGATTCCATGATAGTATGACAACTGAAACCTTAGAAAGTCTTACTGGTTTTGTGTGTGTGAGAAATTTTTCTTGCTATAACTTAGCTGTTTGTTTTTTAATGAAGTGATGACATTTTTCTCCGAGAGATTATAGCTTTGTGCTCAATTTGTTTCTCGTTTTAAGCTTGATTTAAAAAAAAAAAAACAAACCCAAGTTGACATAAGTGATTTGGAAATACTTCTGGACACTGGTGTAGGTCACAGACTGTGTGATGTATTTGTTTTTTGTTTTTTTTAAAGGCATGTATTATTTATTTATTTATTTGTGTGTTTATACAAGCACTGGGTACAGTCAGAAGCGCGGGAGGGTGAGAGAATTCACCAGAGCCAGAGCGGGGAGCAGAGCAGGCAGAAGGACCGAAGTACACTGCTGAGGGGAGCAGCGGGCAGCGGGAGAGGTCTGCGCGCCATGTGGGACCCTCCTCCGGTGGCCGGGGAGCAGCCTGGGATCAACCACTGTGCCACCGGGGAGGCCCCATATTTGTTTTTGAAATAGAGGAATCATTGAATGTAAAGCAAGAGAGAAAGATTCTGATTAAGTTGTATGGAATATTATAGTAAACTTTTGTTAAACATGAATGTAATATTTATTCTATTTTAACTTAGATTTTAGAGATTTTCAGGAGTTGTTTCTAGTATTCCAGCTATTGGCTGCAAATTGGGAATAGAACCAAAATTCAGAGAACTCCCACATCTTGTATACATTTTGGCGACTAGATTAGTTTTGCAATCGAGGGAAAAATGCCTAGGAATGTTTCATCATTCACATTCCTCATTTTCGTAGTTTCTTTATATCCCTGTTACTCTATAACCCTGTTCAATAATTACTATAGTTATTGAAATGAATATTTCAGAAGTCTTTATTCACATGCTTTCATATAAGAGAAACTTGGCTTATTAGAGTACTGTGCATGTTATGAGTGATGTATTGAATCTTTCATATCAAAATAGAAGTTTGTGAGGGCTAAGCTTTTTTCCTTTGATAGTAAGGCATTTGCACTTTATTCCTTGTAGTGTTCTGATCAATTGTGACATTTTAAAACTAATTTTTATTTTTCTTCACAAATGAGTCTTGTGTTTATGTCTGGCTGCTGGAATAACTGCCTTGAGTACTATAGACACGCAAGTAACAAAAAGGCAGATTTTGTTGAAGAAAATTTCAGTGTTTACAAGTGCCTAAAAATAGATGACTGGATCAGAAATATGTGGTATATATCCACAATGGAATATTATTCAGCAATCAAAAAAGATACACTCATGCCATGTGCAGCAACGTGGATGGAGCTAGAAGGAATTATGCTCAGTGAAATAAGCCAGCAGGAAAAAGAAAAGTATCGATGGTTTCACTTATCGCAGGAATATAGGGGAATCAAATAAGATATCAGTGTAAAAAAATAATAACAGTACAAAACACAACCATGCAAAAACAGACAATTATAAATCAGAGACATCCTGCAGGGGAGGAGGCCGGAGAGGAATCAGAGGGAGGGAGGGAGGAGCAAAGGGAATGAGGTGATGATGCACCGATGCATTGGTGAAGGAAACTCTAATGGGGACTACACCTGAGGGGGTGGAGGGAAGCAAATATTGTTTAAAAATGAACAATGATGTAAAAAAAAGGGGAAAAAAGAAAATTTCAGTGTTCAAACTTTAAACATTTATTTTCCTGTTTGTAGACATCTTACAAAATTTAATTTTTATTCAACTGTATTTTTAATTTTATTTTTATTTATTTTTTTATTTAAAATTTATTTTTTATATTCCCCATACAATTACAACCCCCTTATTTTGACCCCAAGCCCTCCTTTCCCCGCCCCCCACCCGCCATAGAGTGTCTCTGGTTCATAGTTGTTTGTCGATTTTGATATTTTCTTTCTTACAGTTATTCTTTTTCCTGGTCCCTTATTTAAGTTTTCTAGATTCCTGCTATGAGTGAGACCATCCGGTCTTTTTCTTTTTCTTTCTGGCTTATTTCGCTGAACATGATCCCTTCCAGCTCCATCCACGTTGCTGCAAATTGCATGTGTTTATGTTTTTTGAATGCTGAGTAATATTCCATGGTGTATGGCCCTCAGCTGTATTTTTTACTTAAATATATTAAACATTTGAAAAAGTTGAAAGTATTTTCTGAATTGCGAAAGATACTGGCATTAGTATGCCTTCAAACATTAGTTTTTTTCTGATACATTTACTTCAACATTTTTATTGTGCACCATTCTAAATATCTTTTGTTTGTAAAGTCTATTTCAGATATGATTTTTATTCTATTTTATTTTTATTATTATTCTATTATTTTTATTCTATTTTATTCTATTCTATTTCAGATATGATTTTTATTCAATTTAAAATCTTAAAAAACATCGAGGTTTGGGTTGGAAGGTTTTATTAATAAGTGAAAGACATTGGAATCAAATGTTCTCTATATATGTGTGTATATAAATATATATGTCTTGTGTATGTTTTGCTATGTTAAACCGGCACTAATCCTGGCTACTTTCCCACTTTACCTTCTATCTTTAGAACACATATACTAACAACTGTCACTTTATGCATGGAAAATATAGTGGGCAAAGGAGAGAGGGAAATGTGTTTTCATTTCAGAAGTGATAGAAAGGAAATACAAGATACTTTGTCATTCACCAATATACAGTAAGGTCTGATGTGTCAGATCTCGTATTAGATGTAGTCTAATTTTGTTTTCTTCCTAGTGGAAGTCACTTGTCCAAACAACTTTTATTGAATTTTCCATCTTCTCCCCATTAACGTAAGATTACAAATATATACATATATAGCTCTTTTCTGGATTTTACTCTTTTCACTAATGAACTTGGTTTTTCTTCTTCAAAAATCATTAATACTTTACTTATAATACTTTATAGTAGTTGTCCTATTTGGTGGGGCAAGTTCTCCCTTGGGTTTTTTTTTTTTATTTAATGACTATTCTTCTTTTAATTAATATTTTATTTTATATAATTCTCACATCATTTTTAATTTTTGCATAATGTATGCATTATCATTTTGGTCATATTCTCCATGCAATTGCACCCCCCCTTATTTTAACCCTAGTCCTTCCCCCCTCCTCATGGTGTGTCCCTGGTTTATAGTTGCTTGTTGAATTTAATTTTTACTTTGTATTAATTAGTCTTTTTCCTGGTACCTTATTTAGGTTTTCTAAATTCCTGCTATGAGTGAGACCATCTGGTATTTTCCTTTTTCTTTCTGACTTATTTTGCTGAGCATGATCCCTTCTAGCTCCATTCATGTTGCTGCAAACTGCATGTGTTTATCTTTTTTGATTGCTGAGTAATATTCCATTGTGTATATGTACCACATCTTCTTGATCCAGTAATGACTGTTCTTGAGTATTGTGTCTTTACAGAGTTTCTCCAGTTTCAGAAGAGGGGATGTCATTCTATGTATTTTGGTTCTGTTTACTTAAAACTTTATG